AGGTTAGCTTTCAATTGAAAAAAAAAATTACAACAAAAAAAAGTCTGGTATCCGATTTCAATGAAAATTTTTATTAAAGATTTGATGATGATTCGTCAAATGATTTATATACATCATCGATTTCCTGGAACCTTTCTCTTCCCTGTTCTTGATTCTTTTCTGTTTATATCGATACACTGCTGCCCCCTTTCTTCAAACATTACCTAGCCCAAAGAATCAAATACAAAACCCACCTAGCAACAGCAAGAGAGAGCGAAATTGCATTTTATTTGAACGAAAAAAATGAAAAGAAAATTCCAATTTCTAGACAAAAAGAAAATTAGATCAAAAAGATTTTGCCAGTGTGATGGTGATGGCAGAGTATTTCTGGGAAATTTTTCCCCAATATAGCAATATCAAGTACATACATATTCTGGTACAGATCGAAAATGTTGATTCGGGTCTTTTTGAATTTTCATTCATTAGTTGTTTATGAAAGTTGTTCATTTCTGGCCAAATTTTCCGAACATTCCACTTGGGGCAGAATCCAATTTATAAGCAATGTAGACGAATCATGAAAATCAAGTGGCATCAAATTTTGATACTTTTTTTTGCTGCATCATTAAAATTCGATACCCGAAAAAATGTAGCGGTTATTCAGGTTTCTCGATGATTGTTGAAACCGGAAAATCCATGTACCATATTCATGAAACAAATAAAAAAAAAAAAGTACGCAGATGCAATCATCATCATCATTACTATCATATGTTCATTTTCAACCAACCGAAAATAATTTATGTTTCACGATTCGAATCAAATTGGATACAAAGTTTCAAAAAAAAAAAAAAAAAATTTGACTCAATCTCATTCACGAATGAAGAAAAAAGATTCTGGAGATTCAAAATCTACCTATACATTCACTGTTATTATTATATAGCAAAATAAAACAATGAACCAAAAAAAAAAAACTTAAAACACGCATAGCCATTTGATTCTGGTTACCTGGTTGCAACCAACCAACCAACCAACCAATCAACCACCAGCAGAACACAATCACAATCAGAAATCAAATTTATCCTTAAGACAAACACTTACACAATATTACCGAACAGATATATGAATTCGTGACTGAAATCGAAAACAAAAAGCAAAAAAAAAAACAGAATGTCTTTCGACATTTCGAAAAAAAGGATGAAAAACATTACATTTGTTGTTGTTGGAAAAAAAGGATATGACCAAAATATTAAAATTTGTTTACTTATCACATATGCTAAAGATTAGATTTAATTCTATAAAACAAAAACATTTTCTGGTTACATGGGTTCGTTTGTGTGTGTGTGTGTGTGTTAATAATGACACAAAAAGAGAGAAACAACAACAAATGACAAACAAAAAAAACTGAAATTCAGAAAAAAAATCAATTTGAATGGAATCCTCACATCATCAACGAAATTCAACATTATTTTGCCATGACCTTCAAACGAAGAAAAATTCAAATGAAAAAAAAATTCATTTTATAATGTTACATAACATAAACACACATCATATATAAATACAAGGCATGACACGATGATGATGATGATGATGATGATGGCAAAAGAAGAGAGACAGATTCTCATCCCATTCGCACTTGATGCTTATTAGTATATTGCCATGATGCCATTCGTCTGTTAAGTAAAAAAAAAAAAAAATTTCTCCATCATGGCCATCACTACACATTATTTCAACTTTATACATCATCATCATCATCAATGAATTTTGAAATAAAAAATTTTGTTTCTACGCAATCGCAATGTTGAACTTTGGCCAAAAAAAACCAAACAAAATAATAAAAAACGAATTTAATGTGTCTATGTATAGATAGGGTTAATGTCGATGTGTGTGTGTGTGTGTGTGTGTATGATGCATTTTAGGCGATTGCAAATGTACCAGAATAAGAAACAAAAAATAAATGTGCAAGTATTGTGAATGCATGCACACAAAGGATGTAGTATAAGGATAAAACATTGATGGTTTTGCCGGTTTGATCATCATCATCAACATTCTTGTTGCTTTCTTACATCATTCTCCGATCGGTTAGGTTTGAATGTGTCATAGCTTGTGGACACAAAAAAAACCTGGCCGGGTTTAAGTCAAGTTTTATATGATAATCTTAAAGATTAAATCATAAATAAATTGTAGAAAAGGCAAACCACAAGGTTATAGGTAATGAAAAACATAATGTTGTCAAGGTTAAAAATTGAAAACAACTGTGAAAGGATGATGACAAATCAATAAAAAAAAAAAAAAATTTTATTTTTCTCATTTTATTTTGTGGTACTAGAAAACGAAAAAATTTTTCCAAGAATAAAATTATAAAAATGAATGCCAATTCTCGTGGCAAAAAAATTCTTTTTATTAAAAAAATATATTATTTATTACCATTAGTCTAGCCCGACAATTGTTCGAGAGAATTTCAGTGATAAATAATGGTATTTATTGCTGATGTTGGAAAAAAAATATTTAACCAAATATTCACCACCCACCCACACACACACACAAAAGCCTCAAGGCGTGAATTGAACACACACACACATGTGTGTTTTTACATCATCGATTGTTTTTGGTTAAATTCAAAAAAAAACAACGAAAGCGAAAACACTTGTAAAAATATTGGTTTCACTAACAAACCAACATGATGATTATATGATTATGAGTATTTGAAGGTTGATAAACTTTTTCAAAATTTTTTTTTAAAAAAATGAAAAATGCCAAAATCAATCAATCAATCAAATTGATAGAAGAGAGAAAAAAAATGTTTTACGAGAATATTTGGCATCCAATTAATAAATGGTTGCAACTAAATAATGGACAACAAAGAGAAAGAAATACATCAAAGACAAAAGATGATGAGTGTGTGTGTGTGTGTGTGAGAAAAAAAAATTGAATTAAATGCATAAATTGGATTTTCAAAAACACCGGATTTGGATTGAATAAAAAAAAAAAATTTCCAATTCAATGTGTTTTTCATATTGAATTCGAATCGAATCATCACATCATTCATCAGGATTAATGTCTTTTTTTCTGTTGTAGTTTTGATGCAATTATTCAACCATGTTTTGTAATGATGATAGACGGACACCCATAGCGTAAATTTATTGTTCAAATCATAATCAAAACACAATGATAAGCTAATTGGTGATGCAAACATGAAAATAATTTTCAAAAAAAAAATGAAAAAAAACAAAAAAAATCCAAATTCCAAACCGCCAAATTCTTAACAGCGAAAAGCATCATAATTTGATCCGATGACACCATGATTATCATCATCATCATCAAGTTGAAATGATAATTTCTTGTCATTTTCATTGTTATTTATGTTGTTGACAAATCATATGTCATCAGAATGTCAAATCGAAAAAGATGGAAATAATTCATTAGAAACTTAAAAAAACAAATAAAACCCATATCCACAAACTAGAATATTTTGAACTAAAAAACAAATAGAAATTGTAAAAATAATTATCAACAAGTTGAAAACATCATCATCAACATAAAATGACGCGTGTAATATTTAGATTATTATTACTGTCACATACCGTAAAAAACATCATTTCACTACTATCGTTTCATCGTTTAGATAGATTCAAATTACCCTCAACTAGCACCAAAAAAAAAACAAAACAAAAAATGTACAAATGATATGTGTAATACATTGTCATCTGGATAATCATCAGAAACCCATACACGTAAATCTTTTTTTTGCATTCGTTATAAACTGTATTAAAAAAAACGATAATCATATAATCATCAAAGAGAGAAAAAAAAATCTAAACAATTATAACAGTATGATGATGCCACCAAACATCAATGTCGATAATATTTCGGTTTTGGTTGTTATTTATCGTTTTGCCATTGCATTGACAAATATCATCATCATCATCATCATCGTTGTCGTCGTAGTCGTCGTCGTAACATCATGATGTCAAAGACATTTTTTTTCTGCTACAACAACAACAACAACAACAAATAACAACGACGACGACAGCAGCATCAGTACACATATTATGATACCAATGAGAGAAAAACTGATTTATTATCGTCCAAAATATTATATTTTTACACCACCAATAATATCATCATCATCATCATAATCATCATAACAGTCATCAAACAATAAATAAATAATATATATAAAGAGGCATCAAAATCATGTAGTAGGAGGATAAAGAGAAGGAGGAGGAACACGACGTATTTGAATCAAAATTAAATAGAAAAAAAATGTTTTTTTCATCAAACGAATAATTTATAATCAAACGAAAGACGACAAGTCATTCATTTTTTGTTTTTAATTTCTGCTAATAATCATAATAATCAACAACAACAACAAAAGAATTTCTTTCACACATTTTAAATGTAAAATGCAGCATTAACATCAAATAATGATCGATGCAACAAGAAAGGGAAAAAAATGGCAAACCTAAGCAGAAAAAAAATAGTAGCAATATTCAAAACAAAAAATGGAACCAAAAAAAATCGACATATGACAGCAGAAACAAAGATCGTTCTAGATTGGAACACACAAGAATAAGGAGTAATATACAGAGATAATACAACAAGAACAATGACAAACACACACACACATAGATATATATACTATAAGTAGATTGTTCACAAGTAAAAGAATAACAATGTACAAAAAATTCAAGGCCAAGGATCAAAAATAATGTAAATGAATGGATGTGTGTGATATAAGCCTGTACAAAAAAAAATAAAACATTTATGGTCAACCGATAAAAAAAATGGAAAATAAAACAAAAAAAACTTTGCGCATACAATATCTATATAGTTTACGAAAATATACGAAAATAAAAAGAATGAAATGATGATGATGACATGTAAAGTTCGAGAACCATTGCTCTTCATTTTTTTTGTGTTTTTTTACTTCTTTTTTTCCACAAAAAAAAACTTGAAACAAATGCTAGGTTCAACAGTAATAATAATAATAATGAAAATAAAAATAATGGAAACTGGAAACTTACCATCATCATGGTGGTGTTTTGTTATTTCGATGCTTTTGTTTTTTTTTATTTCGGTGAAACCAGAAGGATAAAAAAATTGATTGATTCTTAACAATTTTTCTTGTTGTTGGATCAATCACTCAATTGTTTTTTTATGGATTAATTTTTTCGGATTTTTTTTTCTTCCAACAACACCATCATTATTATTGTTTTCCATTCGATTATTAAAAAATTATTATTGCGTATTATGAATAATCCAGATGAATTCTGAATGATGATGATGATGATGATGGTGGCATGAATATAAAGAAAAAATCACATTTATGATGTTATGGATATTTTTGAGGGGAGGGCAGCAGCAAAACACTGATTTGAAGCCAAATCGATAAATGATGTGGATGATGTATATATATAAATATATATAAAACTGACGATGACGTATATAATCTGTATATACTTCTGGAACACATACACATATAAACAAGCTATATTGGATAATGAATTTCAATTAATTCAGAAAGGGTAAGACAAGGAAAAAAATGGAAAAGAAAAAAAATCAAATCATTTGAAAATTGTGATTGAAATCATCGATGACACACACACACACACAAAAATCATCATCATCATCAAGAGAGAAAAAGAGAGAGAGAGAGCAACGAAAAAAATGGTCGAAAATGAACAGAATCATTTAGCTTTTCAAACACACACACACAAGCATAATTTATGTATTCAAATCAAAGAAAAAAAATGATTAAAAAAGAACAAATTTGAATAAGAAAAAAAATCTGGATTTGATTATTTGCCAGTTTTTTCTCCTCATTCATTCATTCATATTACCACCAAATCAGATTCAAAAGATTCTCCCGATTTACAGAATCCAAAAATGCTTTGATCTCGAAAAGCACACACACACACACACACAGAATCGAAATGCCTTTCAAGTCATTATCATCATCATTGTTTTGTGTAAAATAAAAATAAAAAATCTTTATTCATTCTCAAAAAACAAAAAACAAAACAAAACAAAATGAATTAAAAGGCAAAACATTTGAATTTAATTTTTATATTTACGATATATGATTATTTCATCAAAACAAAACAACGAAAGAACGATCCGATGAAGGAAAAAACCGAATTATTATAAGACAGAATTATGTAGGAATCAAACCGTTTTTTCTTTATTTTTGGTTAATTTGCCCTTGTTACACTCTCTTGAATCATTGAGAGCAAACAATTTATATTGTTTTTTTCCACTAAAAAATTCTTTTTGTAAAGAGACGTCATTTACACACTCAAACAAACAATCAAATTGTCAATCCATTAGTAAAAAGGAATCGAAGCATTCTGAAAATTTCATTTGTATTCACCATAAAAAAACGTATGTTTATTGCAAACAAACAAAAACCAAAAAAAAAAAAAAAAAACATGGAACATAATGAAAGTAAAATGAGATTAAAGAAATTCGTCAAGTCATCATTCATCATCATAATCATCCATCAATAACTAGCATTTGATTTTAATTATAAAACAAAAACAACAACATTAATCAGTAAGAAAAAAAACTCTGAATATATGGAATTGAATCTATAGATTGATCCAGAATGTTTATGAATACTTATGAGGAGTAAATGATGAAAAAAAACTGTTTTCTGTTTTATTTTCCTGTTGTTTTGACAATTTTATTAGTGTAAAAAGTGTTGGGCACACATACACACACACACACGCACAGGAAAAGGAAAAGAATCGATCATATTCAAATGGAATCAAAAAAGTAGATATATGTTTTTTCTTGTTACTAATAGATTTCATTCAACAATAATATACACCACACTGTGAGACTATTGATTGATTAAGTATAGCAAGAGAGAAAAAACGAAATTAAATGAAACGGAAACCAATCGTATCTACAAAAAAAAATCTATCTACCTGTACACCCGAATCGATTTATTATTACATAACCGTATTTAATAACCGATGGGATATAATCAATTTCGAATAACGAATTCCAATCGATGGTGAATCACCACATATGGCGATTATTTGGAAAAATGTAACATTTTTTTTGTTATTTGAAACAAATTGAATTCAATGCACCGATAAAAAAGGAAAAAGAGAAAAATTTGTAAAGTAGCGCAAATTTTGGGGTTAATTTGAAAATAAAATTCTTACTTTTGTTGTATATTTTTCACCCTCAAATGAGGCTAATTTTCTCTGTGTGTATGTAATGTCGTAATTCATGCATTTTATTCAACAATAATTATGCCAAAATTGAATCTACCGTAAATTAACCAGAATGATGATGATGAAAATAAAATAAAAGATAATGAGGTTGTATGATAACTATAGAGAGAAAATGGAAAAATCTGGCCATAAAAAAAACTATAAATGGCCAACAACAATAGTGTGATGATGAAGATACTATGATAATCATCATTATCTGCATAAACAATAACATTGTATACGATAGATAAAATTTTATTCAGAAAAAAAATTGATGAAAAAGCGCATGCACCTTGAGAAACAAACGAAAACAAAAACCCAATTCTTTGATCTCAATTTTTTTTTCTTCAAAAAATTCATTAAAAATATTCATCGACATACAATAATACAAAACAGAATATCAATCCATCAATATCAAAATTATCAAAACAAAGAATCAATCGTAACACATTTTTCTCTTTCTATGTTTACATTTAAATTGAGATTAAAATTTTTGAAAATGAAAATTTGAAATCAAACAATAATAAAAACCAATTGTTGACAATTCTATGATTTGATTCAGAACTATGTGTGTGTGTGTGTGTAATTTTGTTGTGGGCGTCAGTCAGTCATTCATTCATTCATTGATTCATACAAGCAATATGAATAATGATGAGATATTGTTCGTGTATTTCCAATGGATTTTTTTTTCTAACTAAATCATCACACATACACCAATCAAACATACACACACACACACACACACATACAACCCGTTCAGCACAATCTTCTTTATCATTTCAGATATATTTCCATTCCATTCTACATTTTGCTTTTCATTCCAATACATCCAACTATTATTCAACTAGCTTGAAAGAACGGACTAAAAATTCCATCGTAAACACACATATACACATATAAACATAAAAACCAAACGCTGTTATTGTTGTTGTTGTAGCTAATCCGGGAGGTTTTTCCAGTATCTTCAGCCACAGAAAAGAAATCCGGTAGGGTCTCATCATCATCATCATGAGAACCGGTCTGTTTGGCTTGGCGGCGTATACTTGTCCGTTTTCATCAATATCAGCAACAGCAGCAGCAGCAGCAGTACCATCATCAAATCATAATCTAAATGGTGTTGTTGACTGTTCTCTCTCTTTTACATACAAATCAAAGGGATGGAATGGGCGCCAACCAACCATTTCTCTCATATCATTATCATCATGGTATTGAAAGAAATCCACCATAACCAGAAAAAAATCCACCCGGACTGTATTCGTATGTGTGTAATATAAGCAAATATGAGAGCTTGACAACCAACCACACACACACACACATACACACATATATATATAACTAAGTAAAATAGCCACACACACTCACAGAGCATTACTATAGCTACCAAATATATTGTCAGAAAGAAAAAAAAGAAAAAAAAAAAAAAACCAAACCTTAACACATAATATAAACACAGGCAAAATAGAATACACATACATTGCCACACAGAAACACAACATAGAATAATAATGATGATGATGATGATGATGACGACGACGACAACAACAACAACAACAAAAAGATAAAGACAAGTTCAGTGAAATGGCATGCGCTGAGCATCCATGAATTCATTTTCCATTCCCTCTTTCTCTCCCTTCCCTCTTTAGTTCTCCTCTGTCTGTCTATGTATGGATCCCAAATTTTTATTATTCAATGTTGAGAATGAATGAATGAAATAAAATGAAATGTGAATGAATGAAGCAACTGTATGTATGTATGCATGTATGTGTTTTGTATACCAAAAAAAAAAAAAACATTGAAAGAGAAAGAGAGAATATGAAATGTGGTCCTACCGGCAAGAATTTGTGTGTTGCAACATCACATAAACATTATAAAACCATCGACATATTCGATTTTCGTTATAATGTCATATTATTACCGATGTTGTTGTTGTTGTTGTTGTTGTCATCATAAATCTCGGGTTATCATTATTGTCAACAAATATTTAAAAGAAAATAAAAAAAAACTCATTTCATTTCATTCGTCATAATAATAAAGAATAAAGAGAGTTATAACTGAAAATGATTCAGATGAAATAGACCTCATTGGTTTGTTATATTATATGATAATGATGATTAGTTCTGATTCAATAGCGATCCAATTGATGAATCAATGTTGATGATGATTTTGAGTTATTATCAAGTTACCCACAAACAACGTTATCTAATATATGCAAATATGGAATCAAATTCAATCTAAAAAAAATGGTTCTCTAATTTTCATCTTCATCATCAACAACATCATTCTACCAAGTTTTTTTTCTGTTAATAAAAAAAAACCACAAACATCAAACAACAAACTGAATATAGAGAAAAAAATGATGGTTGAATGAATGAAACACAAAATAATTAACACACATCATCATCATATTTATATGACAAATATTAATCGTAATAACGACATACAAAAAAAATGAAAAAGAGAGGGGTGAAAAAAAAATGAAAAAACATATAGAAAAGGATTTTGAAACTTGAAGATTTCTTTCTCGAATCAACTTGATGAAGATATACCAGTATATCTGGATTTTTTCTCTCTTTCTCTCATCATCTTAGTGATATTAACGCTTGCGCATCGATTCAAATATTCTTCAAAATATATACCGACAGTACACATATACAACACACAACCAGTATCAGTTGATATAATGATGGTGGTGGTGCGCCTGACAACATCATCATCATCATCATCATCAAAACTGACGACGCCTTTTCTTTTTTTTCCCTCTTTTCATTTCATTTATAAATACAACAAACATTACAGCCCCTTTTTCTCTATACTCATCCTCATCATTATCACTACCATCACAATTACAAACAGAGAGACCAAGATACTTGTTTTTTTTCATTTTTATTGGGTATATCTTTTCATACAAAACCAAAAAAAAACTGATGATGATGATGATTGCGTCGTAAATGGACGACAATCAATATATACAAATTCTCCTACTCCTCCTCTTCTTTATTTTATTTATCATCACTCCCAGCTTCCCCCCATTCAATATGTATAAAATATTTCGTCTGAAAATAATGACAAGAATTAAAATGGAAAAAAAATTATTCAAAAAAAAAAAAAAAAAAAAAATAAGAGGAAATGATGAGGAGAGAACGCAAGCGCCGAATGAATTACCGAAAAAAAGATAGCTACTGTAATCATCATTATCATATCAATTGCTACAAGTCTAACCAACAAGACATAACATACTAGGAGATGGGGATAACTTTCTTTTTCATAATACTGAAAACATTCACTCTCTTGAAGGCTAAATTCAACCATTTATCCATATTCAATCTCTATTAGATAATCGAGAGAAAAAACACATCACAAAGAATGTTTTAAATATGAAAATATACTGACCGGCTTCAATCAGAAACCACCACCGTTTGTTGATCATCACACATAATGGTGGTGGACAAGCAAGAAAATTTAAGAAATTTTCATCTATAAAATAAGGAGATGAGAGGATGCTATGTCAGACCGGAAATTCAAATTCAAATCGAATAGAAGGAGAGATGATAACAACAAAACTATATACTGAACTATACACAACAGAATCTAAGAATGAGTCGACGCCGTCATTCAAAACATTTTATATATTTGGATTAATCCACAAAAATAAAAAATAAAAAAATAAAATAAAATAAAGTTGTCAATTCTGTTTTAGGGAATGTGTGTTGGCGACCGGCAAAATGATCTTGGCTTCGAAAATCTTGTTTTTTTCACAAATAAACATAACACAAGGATCTCTGGATCACATCAATTCAACTCTATTATCATCATTTGAATGTATTTTATGTCTCACGAGATTTTCAGGATCATAAAAAAATGAAATTTTCAATCCAATTGAATTAACTACAATGGATGTCATTTATCCTCAAACAAACAAAAGAAAAATGAAAAAGATTTTCAACAATATCAAAAGAGGCCTAGATTTGATTTAAATTTCATTTGAATTGTATTCTTATTTACTTTCTCTTTCGCTCGCTGTTAATCGATCAATTTTTTTATCGATATCGATAATTTGTATGACAATGTCATTACATTTACATACGCACACAAGTTTTGTCCAATGACATTTTTTTTACCCTTTAAAATTTCATCAACCTTTTCTTTCTGCCTACACACACACACACACACACATAGATATATTAATACCTTTAAGGTAGGAAAATGAACCGTTATAACCAAAATAAAATTCAAATGAATGAGAAGAAGGGGAGAATAAAATGATAAAGATCAAATCCAGGGAATTTAATACAATAATATATGTCTATGAAAGGTGGGCGAGTCTGTAATAAGAGCCTACGGGGATTTGGATGCGTGTGTTTGCTCTCTCATCATATCAGCATTATGAACATGATAATAAAGATGCTTATGGTTATTATTTGTGAACAAAAAAAAAACAAACAAACAAACAAAAAAAATTTTCTTTTCGATAATGATGATTATTTTGTTGTGTCGTATATTTCGTCTACTACTACTACTACTACTTTTAATATTACAATGATGATAAGTAATTGACGTACCTTTTTAAAATATTGTTGTCTTGTTTTGTTTTCTGGTAAAAACAGTTTACAGAAACAAAAGGAAGAACCAGATCTTGATAAATTATGATTGGAAAGGTTATGATGTCAATTCAAAACAATGACAATGAATGAATCTTTCATAAATCCAGAATTCTGTGTGTTTAAAGTCAAGTAAACTAATTCACCAATCAACCACACCAATTACACCACACATTCATTCATTCATTGATGATCATTTGAGATTTATAATTCGAGTTTGTTATTGCCGATTGTGCACATATCATACAAATTGATGTTGATGAATTTTTCACTCTGATGGATCATCATCATCATCAATGTGAAGTCACCAACAACGAAAAAAAAAACCAAATCAAACAACAACAACAACAACAGTGATACAGAAAATCCAAAGTTATTCTAATGATTTTTCTCTTGTTGTTATCATCATTTTGTGTCTATGTGAATGAATATATATGGTTGATGTCAATGTTGTTAATGTCAATGATGATGATGATGATGACGACGGTGGTGATGGTGATGATTTGATGGTATAACCTAAAGTATGGCTGACATCGTCGACAAAAGATGAAATGTACAGAGAGAAAAAAAAATCGAATACAGAGGATACACACACAAAAACATCAGCAGTGGTGGTGAATGTGGTGATGAACAGAAGAGATGGAGAAATAAAAAAAAAATCATCCAAATCCAAATCAAACACCATACATAAAAAAAATCAACAGTAACAACAACCTATACACTCATAATACATACACACACACACAGAAGAAATAACAAAAAATCAAAATCAAATGATGATAATGATGATGATGATGATGATGGTGGTGGTGGTGGTGGTGTTGATGATGATGATGATGATGAAAATAAATGAAAAAAAATCCAAAGAACTAACCAAAATCACTAAAAAGGCAGCCACCAAGTACAAAAACCCAATGTTGTTGTTGTTGTTGTCGATGATAAACCAAACAGTCTACGAATACACAAAGCAGCTATTCACAGGAATGCTAAAAAAAAAATACAGAAAAAAAGTAGCAGCATCAGAATGTATATGTTTTTATTTGGAATAAAATAAAATCATCATCATCATCGTTGTCGGATACAAAACACACATATACACAAAGACAGAGTAGAGGAATTGTGCAAAGTAACTGTGTGTGTGTGTGTGTGTGTGTGTGATGGATACAACCAAAGTTATTACAAAAGTAAAAGTTATATGACGAAAATACAAACATTTCGAATGAACTGAATTTCAACTCTAAATTGTAGCAGTATATACTATAGTGAAGATCCTACTGGATGAGAGAAAAATAGATTCTAAAGAAAACTTTCGATTTGTATTGGAAATGATCCATATTGATGGCACACTACTACTCCTGTATCCTCGAAAAAAAAGGTAGTGGATATGGAACAATTTTATGTGTGTGGTGCATTCATTCATTATCCCTATGCTGCTATACGAATTCCATTCATTAATTCATTTTAGTTGATTTTGGATTGATTGAATGAAAGAATGAACTCTACTCTTTTTGTGTTTTTGTCTGGATGGACAGGTGAGAGAAAAAGAGAGCCAACACGACTGCTGCTGCTGCTGTTTCTGCTGCTGAATAAACGGTGGCATTTCGTTTATCATAAATTTTTGTTTCAGAAAATTTTTCATTTTCCTTTTATGTTTTTTTTTGTTTTGTTTACTGTCGCAATGTTTTTTTTTTTTGATAATGTCACAATGATAACGGGCGCAACATCATATTATCATCATTAACAACAACAACAACAATCCTCGGGTGATGACATAAAAGTCTAAGATTTTCATTTTCAAAATAAATGATTTACTATTCAATGAAAAAAAAGAGAAAAAAATGTAAATTGATTTGAAAATTTTCACTTTGACAAACACACTACCCATCACATTGATTTTGAATGATATCGAGACATTTTAACCGAACAATAATTAAAAACAAATTTTATTTCTTGTCATGAAAATTTTTATTGTAAAAATTCAGAAAATGTCGAAGTGATTCTGTATTTTTACTTTTCATTTCATTTCGATGTGCGGTTATTAGACAAAACAACATAGTGTGTTGTGTGTGTGTGTGTGTGTGTATTATGTCTTTCTGTTTAATCTGACACGTATAAAAATTCGAAGGATACATGCGCGAATTGAGGAAAGGAGGAGGAAATGATGAGTTACATTGTTGCCACTACCACCACCACAACAACAACAACAACAACAGTAGCTCCCCGGGGTTTGTTTTTTTTATGAGATGATGCGTGCGCATCTTTTTTTATGTGATGTCGTGTATGTCGTAACACTTTCAACACAAACAAATAAACTGAGAGAGGACTGAAAACTTTAAACAAAAAAAAAAAAAAAAAAAATACAGGTTTGGCTTGTCTCTTTCTCTCTCTCTTTATCCCTGTTTGGTATGTCATGAAGCAACTATTTTTTATTTTATTTTTTTTTTTTTGAAGCAGCAGCTGAATGAATATTGAATGGAAATGTGTATCCGAGTCGAATCCATTTTCATTCATGTGTTTTTTTTTTTAGATCGACAATCTTAAAAATGGTCACATCACATCACATACGATGATTTTTTTTTCCATTTAGCATCTCACACATAGCTAATATGATTCTGATTGCCATCTGATGGCTGAAATTGTAATTTTTTTTTTGGATTTTATTTTTGTTTTATTTTATTTGGAAAAAAAACAAACTTTACTGTTTCTTATCATCGTTTTTTTATACTTTTCTCTGGTCACACCGCAACATCAAAATGAGCTTGGCGCTTCTTTTTTAATTTAATTTACGAAAATATTATTATGTGATGATTATATTATTATATTATGATGTAAAGAAAAACATTGTAAATAACCAATTGTAACAATAAAGTATACCAACTGAACAATATATTGAAATCAATAATAATGGTAAAAATTGTAATCGTTCAAATGCATCGGGAAAAATATACGGGCCAAATGTATAGACAGAATGAATAAAAATGAAGCCCAAAATGTAAATCGATTCCAATACATTTAATAATGGTAATTTTAGAAATGAAAATGGTGGATTTTCACGAAATTCATCTTTTATTTCACGCATTACTTCATGTTCAGTTCCATAATCATCATCACTATCTACATAGGTAGTAATTTTTTCAATTACCCATCGTTTGACGATCCGATATCGGCTATTCAATGTACCAAAACTTAATAATAAATGAATGGCCATTAACAATACTTTTAACATTGCTTCGGCTTCTTTATATAACAACGGGAATAGTGAATAATAACCAGCAATGGATATTAGTAAAAATATTTGTGCATAATCAATATTAACAAATATCAACGGAATAAGCGATGGTATGACCAATAGAATTGATTTTTCATGTACATGATAACCGAATTCAAAAAATGTTAAACTTGATAAAAGTATTAGATGAAGAAATCGTATTTCTGGTGCATATGCAACGGAATTTTGATTTTGATTCTGATTTCGTGATGTTGTTGTTTTTGTTCTATTATTGTTTTGTTGTTGATGGATATAGGTGGCTGAAATAGTCTAGATTTTTTTTTCGAAAAAAAATTATTAATAAATTGATGGAAAATTTAAATAGATATATACTTACGATTATGATCACGACAATTATAGCCAAAGTAATTGCTGGTGTTATTGTTGGCAATATTAAATGTTCGGATTGTTGAACAAGACCACCTGTGTATGGTGATTGACGATCAGTAGTACGATAGAATCTTGCCATTAATAAATCATAACCATTATAAAGTGCCCAAAAATTTGGTGCCCAATATGAATGTGTTAATCCACGTTGAAATGGAAATAATCGATTGATTAGATTATAAAATTGACCATTTATGATGAATGGCAAAAATGAAACAACAAATACACCAATCACTATGGCAATTAAACGTAACAGGATATTCAAACGAATTTTCATTGTGATTGAACCTCGTGAATCGCGAATTAAACAATGTTCAATAAATAAATAAATAAAATAAGCCGGTGCCATATAAAGATAGATATGTTTGAAATTCAATAATACGGCAAACCAAAATGATCCCCAATAAATTTTTTGATTACAAATATTGGCCATTGAAATGAGAAGCATTCCGTTTAAGAATCCATTATATTGAAAATGAACATGATCCACAATCAAATGTCCGATATTGAATATGAATAGTACAATATGACTGAACGAAGTGGATGATTGAAAAAAATTCGAACGTGTACACATTGCCGGCAACGAAGTAAATATATGTGGTTTTCGTTTATACATCAAACGAATCCATTGATATACACCGTAATAATAGACTAGATCACTTATGATAACGGTTAAACGCATATAAAACAAAGTTTCCGGTGACATGTATGGATCTTGTTGTATTTGAAGCATATTTTTATCGAAAAATTTTGCCAAATATGCTAGAATATATTCAAAATAGGCAAAAAATGGTGGATAATCTAATGTCCATTTTGATGTACTCTATTTACAAAGGCAATTAGTCTAAAATCAATGATTCTATCGTTCCTTTACCTCTGAATACCATTCCGATAATGGTTTATTATAAGTGATTGCCATCCAATTACGATGAACTTCGAGATCGGTAGAATAACTAGATGAAACAAAATACTTTAGAAAATTAATTCGAAAAAAATACAACTTACTATGATGGTATTAATAAAAACTTTATACATGTTACGATCGTTGCTGTTGAATAGAACATAAACCAAATGGTTCCAGAATCATATTCGGATCTCTTTTCCTTTATCCGTTTATGATCATCACTACCACGGGTAATTGACGATCTAGATTTTGAACGTAAATCTGTTGCAGTCATTCTGTTCGATTGATGACGAACTATGTACTGATTTTAGATTTGTAAAAATCATACAATCATTCACATTCGATTTTTTTTTATCCAACAATAAATCGTGATCAATAACTATAGTTTTTGAACAAAAAAAAATCTAATTAAAATAACCGAAATGTGCACGTCAACTTTGAATAAATAAAATACACATTGTTATAAAAGGAGTATCGAATATCACGTGATCCTAACAAATATAATTCAAATTGACCACGCCTTTTTCTAATGATTATCACTAAAGTTATTATTTACCATCCATTTCTGCTGAATCACAAATCCTCAGCAGTTTTTACTCCTGTTTGTTTGACAATCGTGATTTTTTACTCATTTTTGATCATTGTCCTTGTTTAATTGAATTGAAAATTTTTTCATACTAAAATGGATCGTCTTTTGCGATTAAGTAGCGGTTTACAGAATTTAAGTTCTGGTGGTGCTCAAAGTGATGGCCCAGTTGTTGATACTGCTGAACAAGTATACATTTCATCATTAGCATTGTTGAAAATGTTAAAACATGGCCGAGCTGGTGTTCCAATGGAAGTTATGGGTCTAATGTTGGGCGAATTTGTTGATGATTACACTGTTCGTGTTATCGATGTTTTTGCTATGCCACAATCTGGAACGGTAAGTTTCGTTTTGGTTTATTTTTTTTTGCTTAAATAATGCTTTTTTACAGGGTGTAAGTGTTGAAGCTGTTGATCCGGTGTTTCAAGCTAAAATGTTGGACATGTTAAGACAAACTGGACGTCCCGAAATGGTGGTTGGATGGTATCATTCTCATCCTGGTTTCGGTTGTTGGTTATCCGGTGTCGATATCAATACACAACAATCATTCGAAGCACTATCTGATCGTGCCGTTGCTGTTGTTATTGATCCAATCCAATCGGTCAAAGGAAAAGTTGTTATTGATGCTTTTCGATTGATCAATCCGAATACTATGGTTCTTGGTCAAGAACCTCGACAAACTACATCGAATTTGGGCCATTTAAACAAACCATCCATTCAAGCATTGATACATGGTCTTAATCGCCATTATTATTCGATCGCAATCAATTATCGTAAAAATGAATTGGAACAAAAAATGTTACTAAATTTGCATAAAAAATCTTGGATGGAAGGCTTACAGTTGAAAAATTTCAAAGAACATTGTTCAATCAATGAATCAAGTGTTGAACATATGCTCGAATTGGCCAAATCGTATAACAAAGCTGTTGAAGAAGAGGATAAACTTACACCACAACAATTGGCAATTAAAAATGTTGGTAAACAAGATCCAAAACGACATTTGGAAGAAAATGTTGATAAATTGATGACGAATAATATTGTTCAATCACTTGGTACAATGCTTTCGGCTGTCGTTTTTGATTAGCTTTCAGAAAAGTATTTGAATTTTTCTATATTTAAGAAACAAAAATTTTAATTTTTTCACCAAAAAAAAAACAAAAACAAAAACATGTACAAATTATGAATGAAAAGAGAATAAAATTCATTTTGAAAATTTTTTTTTAAAGAGTATTTTACTTACACGTCATTTATGAATGGTTTCGAAATTATTTTACCGCCAAAATACAGTTGCCAATAGTGTGGTAGTAGCATTTTTTAATGTTACCGTGTGTGTGTGTGTGTGTGTGTGTATGTTTTATTCATGACACGATCTGTCTCTTTGTTTCGTCTCATCGTTCTTTGGGACATTTAATTTTTTTCGATATTTTTGAAGCTCTTTAATCATCACACGTTGTATATCGAAACTTTTCTTTTAATTTTTATTTTGGATTTTTCATTATCATCATCATAATGGCTGCTAATAATACGAATCAACGTAATATTACCGATTATTTCAATACAATTTCGAATTCAAAACAACGAAAAAATGGTAAATCAATCATCATCAATAATGATTGTTTGGTAAATAAATCCATTTGTACAAATGAAAATATTGAGGAAATTATTTCGAAAAAACCAACACCAAAACGTCGTCGTGCTATTACGAATGTAACGAAAAGTGCACCGGCATCAAAAAAATCAAAAACTACAACAATATCGAAAAAAACATCGACAATACATACTGAAACTAAAATGGTTCGTCGTGGACGTTGTCCAATCGATTTTGGTCCAGCCGACGTGATCCGAAAACTCGATTTCGATGATTGTATCGATTCTTCTTCGTCTAGTGATCAAAACAACAATAATGATAGTTCATCAAATTCTTTCAGTGATTTCCTTAAATCAAAAGCAACGGAAAAGAATTCTGAATCGGTGACAATGAAATCATCATCGGCAATGGCACAAACACCATTGATGAAAGCTGATGATATTAAAGAACGATTACGATCATGTAAAAATCTTTCGAAACTTAAAGAAGAATTGGTCAATATTAATAATTGTGGCGAAAAGATTCGACAATTTAAAGAGATGAAAATTAAATATCAACAAAATATTAACAGCCCGATAAAATCGTCACCTATTAAATCAAGTCCACGAAAAACGACGACAATATTTGGATCGCCAATGAAAGCTGTGGCTATTTCATCATCACCATCATCGATCAATAAATTCAACAGCGTATCATCGCCAATTAAACCACGAAATCTTCTTGGATCATTACTGAAAACACCATCGAAAAAAAATTCTGATGATCAAAATGAATTAGATTTACCATTGCCAAAATCATTTAAACGTTTAGTAGATTTATTCAAAATTATCGACTATAATTCATGGCGAATGTATAAACGACAAGAAGTTTGTACATTCGATAAAATGAAACAAGTAGTTGAAGATTCTACACATCGAACATTTACATTGGATGCAATGTTGAAAATTTTGACCATTATGAAACAAAATCCACGATTCCGTCTAGCTTGGGAGCTATATGCCGGCCACTGTAAACTTGTATTAACACCAATATATGCTCAGAATAATATGAAATGTTTGAATTCCGTTGGAACATTATTAAATCGTGAAAAAGAATTTCATCGCTATTTACTGGAATTGACACGTGTTGAACATTTAAAATTTTTATCACAAATGAAATTAAATCTAAATGATGATGATCAAATTTATCGTTGGCATCCAATGTTTCGATTGGATTCTATTCCAGACATAAAACCCGACTATACATTGTTGCCAAGTAAACCAATTGGATCATCATCGAATAAAACTGTTAAAAAAAGTACGATTCTTGATTATTTTGGGCCAAAACAAACTACTATTGAATCGGCTAAATCTAAATCTGAATGTTCGATAAATGACAAAAATAAATCCAATGAAAATGATGGTGTCGATGATAAGAATAAAATCAAATCTGGCCTGTTGAAAGGAATATCATCCGATTTATTGAATAAAGTACGTGCAAAAGAAGCAGCAAAATTAGCACGATTAATGCGTCGACCACCGGAAAAAGATCGTGAAATACGTATGCTATCGAAATTGATCGATATATCTCGTATTATTTATGATTGTTTTCTTGGATCATCAATACGTTCGATTGAAAAAGAGGATCTTATACAACGAATATCGAATAGTATGCCAATGTCAATCGGAGAATCACGTAGCCACCTGGATTATTTATGCAAATTTGAATTGGACATTATTGGTACAAAATGGATTAAAGTAATTCAATTACAGAATGCTGAATATATACAGATCGATACAACATATCCATTGGCCAATCTTTGTCAAGCATTTCGTAAACATATGCAAAAATTGCAATCAAATTAATCTTTTTCATTTTCGTTTTTTTTTTTTTTTTGGATTTAAAACATTTTTCTCTAATCTCATCTTTTTTCTCTAACATTTTGTCAGAATTTATTTCGATACTTTCATTCTTTCTCATTTCTGATTCTCTTTTTATTTTTCTTCTTCGAGATTGAAATTAGTAAATTAATCAAATATATTGTTTGTGTGAAAACCATAAATAAAATGTTTTTTTTAATGATAATAATCAAAACGAAAAAAAAATTATTCAATCATATACAATATATGCAACTTTTCAACAAAATAAATAAAAGAGCATGTGGTTGACTTGAAATTCAAAAAAAAATAAAATAAAATAAATAAATTCATTTTTTAAATTTTTTCTGACCAAAACGATAATGTGGACCAAGTGAACGTCGTTCCCAGAAATTTCGCATTGTACGCCAATCATAATTTTGTTCGTCAATTGACGATGATTGACTACTTCCATCATGATCAAGTGATGGTGATCGTGGTTTGATAAGATTATTATTATTATTGAATGAAAAATCACCATAATCATAATCATCATCATCATCATCGTTACAATATTTATTTTTCTTTGTATTCACAGTGTATTCATTATTTTGTTCGGATGATTTTGGTATCGGTTTCAAAATGATACGTTCACGTATTGGTTGTCCATCTTGATCACGAATGAAAAATTCAAATGATTTATTATCATTTTGGTCACGACCAATATCGATTCGTAGTTCATTTGGAAATCCATTGCCATCATCATTATTATTATTTTCATTAACATTGATATTGCAAATGTTTTCATTTTCCATTTCATGTTTTTCACTGATAATAGCTGAATCATTGATTTCAAATGATACGGATTTTTTCGAATTCAAACATCCTATATTATCCGATGATTCGATTTCATTTGAAGGAGATGTTGTTAATGTTGTATCAGAATTTTCGTCAGATGTTGGATCATAATCTAACACTTCTGCACAACCGGATTCATCTGATAATAATTCTTGAACATCTGATAATGAATCAAAAGGTGTATGATAATCAAGTCGAGGGCTTTCCAATATTAATTCATCACTAGAACGAAATTCTTCGGCAGTTTTCATACTTTCATCATCATCATCATCATCATCATCATCATCATCATCAGTGATTGTTTCTATAGCCAATTGAATTAATTGTGGAAATTCTGGAATGAAACCATTATCATCTGAAACATGCTGTTGTTGTTGTTGTTGTTGTTCGATATTCTCGTTATCAACAATAATACTATTAAATAGGTAATTACCGTTTTCATTGATAACACGTGGATCAATAATTGCATCTTTACATAATGAATCGATCAAATGATCTATTGTATTCAATGAAAGTGAATCAACATTATCTACATTTAATTCATTGATTTTTGGATAATTTTTTTTCTGTTCACATTGATGATCAACATTCATTTCTTCATCGATATACGAATTCGATTTTAATTGTTGTTGTTTGATGTTGTTCATTATCTGATCATGGATCGATTGTCGGCAGTCAATGTTCAAATTGATAACCGATTGATTCGAATATTTTGAATTCACATTGAAAGTGTTTACAACATCATCATTATTGTTTGTATGGAAACGGTGATCATGTTTTTTTATTTGTGGCCAATTTTTCAGAAATTTTCTTCGAAATTGATGCGATTGTAATTCGAATTGATCAAATAATTTTTCCATATCAATCATATCATTCAATATACGGCTATAATGCTTTTTAATAGATGAAAATTGTTGCTGTAGTTGTTCAAATTCATACCGAAATAATTGAATTTGATCATCATTATCATGATCAGTGTAATTGTCATTTTCCGTATCGATAATCATCATATCGGCTGTATCTAATACTGGTTCAATTATAAATGATTGCTTCATGATGGCCAATGATTTTAGTTGGTTTTCTTAAAGAAAAAGAAACAGCAATATCACTATAATAAGACGTCGTTTTATTAGGATGTTTATTTGATTATATTATGTATAAATCTGTGGCATTATCATATCGTATCGCACAAATAACAATTGTTATTATTATTATTGAATGACGAAAAAAGAATGGCCTTCACACATATAATAAATGATTTAAATTTGAAATTAAAATCAATTATTATACATAAAAAGAGAGATAGAGAGAGAGAGGGAGAGACTGGTGGAATCCACTCTAAGTGTTGAAATCATTCCAAGTAATCACTGATGATAATTAAAAAAAATTTTGACAATAGAAGACATTTAAAAATATTTATATGTTTCTCGAGACACAATGGTGGTAATAAAAAATTTGGATATTAAAAAAACTTTTAAAAAACCAAGATGATAGATGAGATTAATCGATCGATCAATCAATCAATCAAACAGACCAAAATATCGATCGGTCTTTTTTTTGGCGGTTAATCTCCACCACTTTCCATCGATAATAAGTTAATAAACATTTTCATTGCTATTATCGATGAATCTGATGGTCGATGTGTCGTTGATATGTCGCCAAATGAACAAGATTGACAGCATACACACACACACACACACACACACAAATACACAGAAAAACATTCACCATACAAATGTCAAAATATAGATGATTATTTACAGTGGCGCTACAAAAATCATATATGTCATTATGATTATTAGTAGAGAAAAATGAAGATTTTTTTTCAGAGAAAAATATAAGGAACTATGATATCAAATTACAAATACGACATAGCCTGATGACTGATGATCATTCATCTATTATTAGTGTGTTTGGAACAAATGATCGATGTGATATTTTTTTTTGTTTGGTTGCCTATGGTTATTATATTATGATTATGATTTAAATTATAATGATGATGATGATGATGATGATGATGATGATCATTACAATAATCAACATCACCAATAATAACCATAACCACAATCAATCCAAACTAGCAGCTCTGATAGAGCGACATTGTTTAGTTCCATCATTTCATTTGGTTTTATCTGTCAACATTGAAGTAGCCATATAATCAACATGATGATTAACAAACATACAAGCACGACAAACATTTATCTGATTGATTTTAACATAGTAACGCACACAAATATCAAACATCAAACAATTTATGATGAATTTTTTCCATATTTTGTTCAATACATAAACGGATATTTAGTTTAACAAATTCAAAAATCACAATTTCCTTAACTACTGTCAATATGGAAAAATCTAAATCAAATAAACTAAACAGAAAAAAAACAAATGAACAACATTGATGGCAACAGATAGTTGTTGTTGTATCCATGAGGAACAAACAAACGTATGATTGAATGTATATCAAATAAGCGGTTATGGATCATAAAAGCCAATTATTATTATTACATTTTTTTCTATTTCGGTTGTTGTTGTTGTTGGAAGGCGTACTGCCGTGACATATGAATAAACACACGAATAAATATATAGGTAAAGATGAACAGGAAATTTAGACAATAATGATGATGATGATGATGGTAATGGTTGCTTCAAACGAATTCGGCAGCAGCCACTACCAAAAAAAAATATCATAACGGTTCGGACATATTGACAAAATAAAATGATGATGCAAAATGTAATAAAGTTGACGACGATTACGGCAATGATGATGATGATGAAATATTTTTTTTCATTCATTTAGGATTGATTATTTGCTGAATTTTTCAATTATCATTCACATTGAAACAGAAAAGTTAACTGAACTTGAAGATGAATGGAAAATGTAAGAAATTTCTTTTTTTGTCGTCGTCGTCGTTGACGATGATAAAGATATATAATGATTATGAATGCAAATGATAATAATCGTTAGGAGATGGTAATCGTAATCGTTGTAGATAAAAATCCATGTTCATGGTTGGTTGATTTTTCGTTCTTATATTAGAATCGGGTTATAATTGTTGTTCATAATGCAGCAGATGATTCGAACGTGAAAAACAACAAAATAGGATCTAAATCGATTTACTTTTCAGAATTCTTCATTAATTCTTTCATTGGATTTGATCGATATGAACAGTTTAAATTGATTGATTTAATTATAAGTTTGTTCTTCAGGCAAGAGTTGAAAAAACATTCAATAAAATTAAATCACGTATGATATATGATATATGATTTGTGCATTGTCATCCATGTCAATAGTTGAATTTTGTACGGTTATTCGGGTTAAATGATTTACATTCATCAAATATTATCATCATGATTGATAATGAATTGAAAATTTCAAATTTTAATCATCAAACAGATTTCAAAATCGATAATGAAAAAAAATGGATTTATCGAATGATTCGAATTTTTTCATTAAAGTTATAAAATTAGTCACCAGATGGCCTCGAAGATTCCGTAACATTGTTTATGAACGTTTTATAAAAACAGCCTGAGTCCAAAATTTTTTTTTTCTCTGGTCATCAAATTCGAGCGGCTTTTTGAGAATTTTGTTTCGCAAGGAAAGAATTTTTTTGTTTATTCCTAATCGTGACATTTTCATAATTTTAAAATTGATTTTCTTTAATTATTGCTGTTAAAATTTCCAAAAGGTTTGTTATGATTTCTTTAAAAAAAAATAAATTATTATTTAAAGGTTTTTCTTTTGATTTTCAGTTTTACGAATTTACAAAAATCGATTGTAAATGGATACCGATTCAAATTCAAAGATTGACATGTCATTGGATGAAATTATCCGTATGGATAAAATCCGTGGACCCAGAAAATTTGCAGGAGGAGGTGGTAGTGGACGAATGAATAATCATCAAAATAGTTTCAATAGAAATTCTGGTAATTATCGAAACAATCATCGATTTAATAGTGGAAATGGTTATCGATCATTTAATAATGGTGGCCGTAATAATTACAATCGGAATATGCCTAAACGTCCATTCAATTTTCAACAGAATCGCCCACGACCAATGAATTTCGATCGAAATCGATCATCATTTCATCAATCGGGCACATTGCATATATCGAATCTAGCACCAAATGTTACCACTGAAGATCTAAATGAATTATTCATAACATACGGTAATCTGAATCATGCATTCGTACATTATGATCAACATGGTACAAGTCTATGCACTGGTGAAGTAGAATTTGAACGTCGTGATGAAGCCATAGCTGCACGTAACAAATTAAATGGTGTTCCACTTGATGGTGAACCATTGCACATAACAATGATTAATTCACAAAATGAAGATTCATTTACATCGTTTCTAAAATCGAAAACATCTACCTCTAGACGACAGAATAATAATTTAAATTCAAATAACAATTATCGTGGTAATAATTATTCACAACAACGTCGACGTTTCAACAACAGTAACAATAACAATAGAAACCAAAACATTTCAGCCGATGATCTGGATCGTGATCTTGATGAATGGCGAATGAAATCTGAAGAAAATGAAAATATTGATGATTTAAATGGACAACAAGTACCAGACGAAATGATGGATGATGTTCTGATGTAAATTAATTAGTTCGCCTACAATTTCATATGACTAAATCTGGAAAACCAAAAAAAAAAAAAAAAATAATCACTATATATTCATTCTTCGCATACTTTGTTTTGGCTCATGTCATAATCAATAATAACCATTTCATTAAATTTATTAATTAATTTTCAATTTGAAATCGATAAATAAAACTAAAAATTAACAGTTGTTTGAATTTTCATTTAAAATACCAAAATTATTCGATAGACGGCGCCAAAACTGCCAACAAATGACCTTAACACCTGATTTCATTGTTGTTCCAAAATAATAATCAAAGATTCCAAAAAATGGAAAAACTTGATGAATATCTGAATGTTGCCATCGATTTGGCTAAACAAGCTGGACAAATGATTATTGAATGGCATCGTAAAGGTTCATTTGAAGTGAATATTAAATCTAATGTCAAAGATTTGGTCACCGAAGTTGATGTGAAAATTGAACGTTTCATTTTTGATTCATTGAAACAACGATATCCTGAACATCGATTTATTGGTGAAGAAAGTGTTAATGATTCCAACAAATATTTAGCATGGGATGAACCAACATGGATTGTCGATCCGATTGATGGAACAATGAATTTTGCACATTTTTCACCATGGTGTTCAGTATCGATTGGTTTGGCAATCAAACAAAAATTAGTATTGGGCGTAATCGATTGTCCACATTTGGGCCGAACATATAGTGCAATCAAAGACGGTGGTGCACATTGCAATGGAAAACCGATTCATGTATCATCGATCAATGAAGTGGAAAAAGCATTGATTCAAACAGAAATTCCGGTTGGTTTCAAATTTCCAAAAAGTCCGAATTTCGCCGATAAACTATTCGATTCGATCTATTGGAAATGTCAAGGATTTCGTTGTGTTGGATCATGTTGTGTTAGTTTATGTTTAGTAGCTGAAGGTGCTGCTGATGTTTATTTTATGCATGGTTTAAAAATCTGGGATATGGCAGCCGGTTATGTAATTGTCACTGAAGCCGGTGGTTTCATTTGCAGTATTAGTGGTGAAAATTTTGATCCGAACAAAGGTAGTCTTATTGCTGCCAGTAATTCTGTATTAGCAACAAAAATTGTTGAACGTTTTCGAGATTCTAAACAATAAAATTTTAAAAAATTTTTTCAATTAAAATCATCATTGTAATTTTAACATTCGAAAATGAAAATTAATAAATCATTTTTTTCAAGGATCACAATATCGATTTATATCGATACAATCGAATAAAAATAAATTCGAAGCTTCGAAGCAAATAGTAAAGATAAATAAATAAAAAATATATCAAATTCTATTGTTATATTTGATGTGATCGTCTTGAGAGGAAAAACTATTATTTTCTCAAAAACCAACTCAATATATAAAAAAAATAACATCGTTAAACCAGTATTAAGTCGAATTTAACTTTTGATTCTTTGCACAAATGCACAAATTGAATGAATGACAAAATCGATAAAACGGTAGCATACAATAACCATCATTTAAAGTTGCTTTTAACATTTTTTTTCCGGTTTCGGCTTTCAATTTCATGTCATCCCTAGTAAAATGAAAAGATCGATTACATTTTACGATTCAATAGTGAAATGATGTTTTATTTTGGAACATGAGAAACAGAAAAAAAAGGAATTATTTGCAAACTACGAAAGCTTGAGGTTTATTTAATTCATTGTTTCATTTAGTTTTTTTTTCTTCGTAACTTATAAATCTTTTTTTTTTTTTGTTTATTTTTTCGTTTCCGTCATAAGATTGTTTCCCGATAACGAACAAACTTTTATATAATGTTTGAAAGTTTAACTTTTTTCCCATTCAAATTCCAATCTCGATCTTGATTTTTTTTTTTTTTTAGTTCCGAGATTCCAGTTTTTTTTTCTATTTATGTTGTTGACTTTTAAAATATCATACAAGTTGTTTGTAGGCCAAAAAATTGTAATGATTCTAAACTAATCACAAGCACACACATCGTTGTCTAATCTGCTGATTAAATTTGAATCTAAAGTTTGATTCTAATGCTAAATCTTTACATACAATCACTAATTAATAGGGGTTGTTGAATAGATTTTTTTTCGATTTTTTTGATGATGATTTTGAGTATTTAGTACAATCATTTCAATTCTCCTGGTACCATTTCCATTATTCTCATCTTCTTCATCCTCGTCTTCATCGTTATCATTATCATCGCCCACATCATAATCGGGAATCGTGTCCATTTGATCATCCACACGAATATGAAGTTGATTTTCATTAAAATTATCAAAATCATCATCATCATGATGATGTCGATGACGACCACGACGATAATGATGATTACGTTGACGTTGATGACTTAAATGATGACAACAGCCATGATTTAGCATTAATTTTTTGACCATATATTTAACATCTGCCTAAAATAATGATACAAAAATCGATGAAAAGAATAATAATGAGAAAAAAAACATGGATAAATATACAAATAACGACAAACCTTGAAATTATCGCTCATAAATGAATAAATTATTGGATTAACAAATGAATGTGCCATCGATAACCAATGTGATGATATAACGATTGTCAGATATTTTGGACTCGAAGCATCATTACCAATAAATCGTAATAATAGATCTTTATTAAAAACACGTATCAATTGAAATACATGCGATGGTAGCCAACAAATGGCGAATAATCCAACGATTGTTATCAACATTTTAATGACCTATATCATTGATGAACATGAAAAAAAAAAAATTCTGAATAATTTTCATTCGAAATTTTACATAGAATTTACCTTTCGTTTAGCTTGACATTGTGCACTATCACGAGCAGCATTTGCATTACCCGGTGCACAATGATACCATAATTTATAACATATTGATCCATAGAAAAATATTAGACATAATAATGGTAATGCAAATACAGATAAAAATAATCCAACCGTATAGATTTGTTCATCTTGTTCGGTAGACCATACTTCACGACAATCATAATATGTAACATTATTAATAACAAATGGTTCAACATTTGAATAGAACCATATCATTAAACCTAAACAGCCACCGGTTAGCCATGTTAATATGACAATAATGATTGGTGCAAATGATTTTGTCCAAAAATTCACATTGAACGGTTTCATAATTGCAATGTATCTATGTGAATAAATGAATGAATGAATGAAAAAAAATCATTCGGAAAAAAATTTCTAATTAATTATTTAGAAATCAATGAATTAAAAATGAAATGACATAAAATGTCAACAAACAAACAAATGGATTATTCTTGGAAATCTGAAAATAAAATGTTTTGGATATTCAACGACATCCAGCTTATTTTTTTTCATGCAAGAAATGTGTGTATGCTTGTGGTATATTCTTCAAACTAAAAAAGCCATGTTCTCTGGTCACAAACAAGTATACGAAAGTTTTTTCATTTTCTCCATCTTCGTTATATTTACAAGATTTATGATGTGATTATGAATCATTCTAAATGCATGGTCATTATTATTATCCTGATAACTAGACTAGAAATGTTTAGCTACAGGGGGGAAAGGTATGTAGGTTGAATTTGTCATTTTATAAATGGATCAATTTTTTCTTCTTCATACTATGATTTGATTATTTTTTTTTCTTTTTCATTCTTACATCTATTTATTTTTCGACTAAATATGATTTGTAATGATTCTTTTTTTTCTATTCATTCATTGGTTATTTCATTATATAATATCAAGCATACAGCAACAATGCCCGCAGCTTTTTGCAGTTTTATTCCAATAAATATAAATGGAAAAACATTCAGCCACAGGATAACGAATATTCATTGGACCAAACGAAAAAAAAATAGATTACAGAATAAATGCATTTGAAGTAAATATGGAAAAAAACGCACATTCCATAAATCCAATGATGATGATTAATAATCAAAAATACATACCTATCTATACCGATCGTTGTTAGTGTGTAGATTGAAACAAAAACCGAAACAATTTGTATTGATTGTATAAATGGACAAAGTGGTGGATAAAATATCCAACGACCCATTATAAAATGTGTATATGTAAATGGTATTGAAAAAATGGCCATCAATACATCGGATAATGAAAGATTGACAAGAAATAATCGTAGATCACGTGAACTACGTTTGCCTTTCATCAATACGAATATAGATAAAATATTACCAAACAATGCCAATGCAGCAGTAATACTGTATAATATTAGTAGACAAAGTTGTAAATTTTTTGATCCAATTTCAAAATTTTCAATACTAAATCCATCCATATAATCAAATGAATTGTTATTGTTATTATTGTCCAATAAGCTCATATTATTATTGATGATGTTGAAAAAATTTTTCATTCCTAACGAATTTTTTCGTTCGGCCATTATCGATATGTTTCCAGAATATATGTGTGTTTTGAACCAGAAAAGAAAAAAGTGTCTCTGATCTTGTTATGCAATTTTGATGATGTCTGTTGTTTTTTTTTCTTGTTTTGGATCATTTAAAGTAAACGACGACAAACAAGCCAACAACTAAAATAAGTTGGAAAAAATAAAGAGAAAGAGAAAATGAACATTTTTTGGTTCAATTGACCCACCAGTATTCAAATCTGTAATACAATCATCATTTTTGTATTGTTGCGGTTCATATGGCACATATGAAATTCAAATTTGTTTTTTTTTTTTTGAACTTACTCAAGTAACAACAACGGCATGGAAATGATGATGAAAAAAAAATCTTCAACTTTAACTCCAAAAGAATCCAGTAGCAGCTTGAAGCGGGAATGAAACAAGAAAAAAAAATAAATGGCCATCATTATTATTATTGCAACAAAAAAAAAAATAATGAATAATGAGAAGGGAGATTGATTTTCATAAATGTTGGTGGATGGAAAATGCGAGAAAAAAAACTACAACAACAACAACAACAACATCAACAAATTCGAGTGATGTCAAATATGATGATTTCAAGTTTTTTTCCCCGCCATTGGGTGGTTAGATATGATAAAAGTTCAAACATAGTGAGAGATTGACATTATGAATTATTTTTTTTCTTGCTTCAAGATATATTATTATTATAACGATGATGATTAGAATATTATGAGATCAATCAAATCAATTCCAGTGATAATTATCATCATCATCATCATCATCATAATGATGACAAAAATGTTAACTTGACAAATAAATACATTTTTTTCGATATTATAATTTACTAGAAAAAAAAGATTGGAATGTTCATCATCATCATCATCATCATGTATTTGTATATTCATTAACAGCAAAACATCATTCCTCTATGGATGATTTTTGTGTTTTCGAAATTTATATTATTTTTTTTGGGGGGAGGGAAGTAGGGCTAAATGAAATAGAATAATGAACGATATGTGAAAAACAAAAAAAAAAGTTTGAAAATGGCTTTCATATATGTGAAACATCTGGAGCAAAAATCTAGATAGATTGGAATTACAAATGGTAACACACACACACACACAAAAAATTCTAAGAATCAACTTTGTTGTTACGTTCTTTCTAACGAATGGCCAAATCATCTTGAAACAGATCTCTGTGTGTTGTTGTTGTTGTTGTTATTAATATTTTTAAAAAAACAATTCACCTTTCGTTTGTCATGTTGTTGTGTATATGGATGATTGAAAAATAAACTTCTACTCTAATGATTTGAAATTTTTGTTGAAATTTATATCTACAAAATAAATATATATATATTCCCTATTACAGAGTCGAAAAAAAATTTTCCCTATTAATGTGGTGGTTATGTTCGCTACAACCCTTTTTATTTTCTTGAAACAACGCCAATACAATTTTGTTCTATCCTTTTGTCACCAACCAAACTTTACTACTCACTATACTATAGTAGAATTCTACTTCTATTAAATGAAAATAAATAAAAATCCAATTCAATCGAAACAAAAAAATAATCATAATAACTTCGGGCAAACCAAATTGAATTTGATAGAAAAAAAATGTGAACAAAGAACGATGTCGAGTTTGTGAAAACGTTTTGTTTTTGTTTATCAGGTTTATATTCAGATTTTTTTTTTTTTTTTTAGAAAAATTTCAATTTTGCAAATGAAGTGAAAATTATAATCAGAAGCAAAACAAAAAAAGTATTTGGTCATTTATTTGATCAATTCAATCAATTCTTTCAATGATTTCAGAATTTTGTTGTTGTTGTCTGTTGTTACCTCGTTTTCATAGACGACATGATATGACTAGAATCATCAATAAATTTAACATTTTTAATTTAATTTAAAAAAAAATTCAAATTTTATTTTCGCCAGAGCAAAATCTGATACACAGACACATGTATGAATGGAAATTTGTTTGAAAATCAAAAAAAAAACATTCTTCATTTTCATCACCCTTTTTCACATCTTTTATATGCAAAAAAAATTGTATGATGAACAAATAAATGAATATGAATATTCTGATTCGAATAGTTTCTATTCTAATTGACTTGATTGAATGCACACTGTTCATAAATCATACTGATTGAATGATGAAAAATAAATCAAAAAAAAAAAAAAAATGATGAAGAGAAAAACATAAAAACTTTTTTTCAAAAAGAAAAAAAATTCATTCGAGCATAAAAAAAGAAATTCAAATTCAAATCAAAATTATCTAAAAAGAAAAGAACCGAAAAAACCAATGCGAAAGACTTTCCATCTTCTGTTATGTAATTGAAATAAAGATCTGATTTCCGATTCTAGTATCATATCAATCGTATGGATATTAGAGAAATTTAGACTAAAAAAGAAGTTGAATGGAATCATTCAATTAATTGTTGTGAATTTGACAAAGAAAATAAAAAAAAAATGATTTATGATCTAAAATTGTTAATGTTACTACTACTATTAACCTATTGCAATTGATTAGTAATTTGAATTAGCTAGATCAACTCAACATTTTATATCAACATTAACAATTCTGTTTCTAATGGATTCTCATCATCATCATCAAGATTGTAGAATCGCATCATTGCATAAATGTTGTTTGTATGGCCAAATTCAAATTTTCTCTTCTCTTTCACTATGTTTTATTTTTCTTTTCCATATAACCCTTTTCTATTTTTTTTTTTAATCTTATAATGGGAAAAAAAATCTTGGCAATTTGTCCAAATAAACATTCATTCAGACTGGTATATATATAAAAAGAGATACAAAATCATTATAATAGGCAATTGTCTATTGCCGTTCTGAACGAGAAAAAAAAACAAATTGAATTTAAACTAAATTTGCGATTGCAGTATGACAAACAATTTTTATGCAAAATGCATTCAAGTATAGTGAAGAAAATGCTATGCAAAAACTATGTGGCGACTCACCATATTATGTGTATTGATGTTGTTTTAATTTTCTTCATCTGACAAATACCAAAAATTCCATTTTTCGGCCCGAAATAATGAGATAAAAAAAAGCTAAATTCACACAATTTGTACATCACACAAATACACAACACAAAATGAAATGGGAAATGAATTTTGTATTTCATTTGGGAAAATAGTTGTCACACACACACACACACACAATGAAAACAAGATCAATTCGGAAATATTTATTTTTTTTCCATGAAAAAAATAGACAAATTCACAATTTTGAAAATGAAATTATTCAAATGAATCTTTACATTGTATATATATATTTTGTCTTTGTGTAGTGTTTGGTTTGTTTTGTTTGTCTTTGTCGATTTAATGATGATGATGATGATGATGATGTTCACAACAAACACAACAACAATGAAATGGAAATGTCACAAGGAATGACACAAAATAAAAAAACGGTGAAATTAAACGAAAAAAAAAACAGATACAGAAACATGACACATTCAAAAAAAAAGAAAGATGATAATAACAATAATTAATCATTCATCATCATAATAATTAAGGCTTTTATAATGGTCAATCAATGATTCGATCATCATCGATGTCAATATGTGATTTGATAAATATATATAGTTAGTGAACAGTCAATATAAAAACAAGAACAATCATCAATAATATTCAATTTGTTGTTGGTGATTATATTATGTTTGTTTACATAATAATAATTCAGTTTGATTAATATTATGTATTAATCATTATTGTTGATGGTGATGATGGTAACAATGTGTCCACTATTTTATTATTATTATGGCTGTTGTTGTTGTTGTTGTTTTCTCTTATCATTACAATAATAATGATGATGATGAATGAATGAAATGTTTAAGATTTGGTCTTTCTCTCTCTGTGTGTGTGTGTGTTTTATGTGTTCATTTCTGGATCCGATTCTATCATTCAAAAGTTTTGTTTAATGCTGTTAAACTTGTTACGATTGTCGTTGTCGTTAGTATTGGTGATGAAGAATCTACTGCCGCCGCCGCCACCGCCATCATCATCATGCTGCTCTTTCGTTGTTCTACAATCATCACTATGTTTATTACGGTTGTCCGTATGATGTTGTTGTATAGATTGTTGCCTGATTATTCCTGGTTGAAATTTCTGATTCGTCGCTGTTGATTGAAAACAAGAATTTTTATTTTTTCTGTCCATTTCTTCCGTCGTCATCTCGTTTGCATCACAATCTTTGATGTTCCGATCTATTTTGCCGCCATTTGAATGATGATGAATGAGAAGATTTTTTTGATCAAAAATTCTGATCGTCGAATTTGCCATTATTGTTGTTCGATCAGTACTAGTTTTCAGTGAATTCTGATTTTTGATCAATGATGATGATGATGATGAAGTAATGGGCGGTGAAATACGGCGACGACGAGCCATCATCATCATCAACATCATCATCCACCATAAAAAATTATGTTGTTTTCGACAATTTTCACTTTCTTGAATTCGGTTTTTTTTTTTGTTTTCACCATTTATATGTAAATTATTCGATGAAAATAAATAGAAAATAGATGGAATTTAAATTTAATTCAAATAGATATCACATAGTTGATTTAAATTCAATTTTTTTCACCTAAATCTAAAATTCACATACTTACCACCGGGTATGATTGATGTTGAATGATCATGATCGGATACGATAGTTTTTTTGAATATTTTTGTTGACATATTTAACATTGTTTTTTGTTTATTATTATTATCATCATCATCATCATCATCATCATCATCATTATTTTCGATAGAATTTTCAATAATAATCGTCGTCATCGTTGATTCTTTTGGATGTCCGGTTTTTGAAATAATTTTTGGATGATAATAATGAACAGAAGTGGGTGGACATTTTTTATTTTTACATAATAATCGAGATCTATGATCATTACTGTGATCATCATCATTACCATCATCATCAACATCATTTTCATCCGTAGCAATAGGGAAATTTTTCATATTATTCAATGTACGTACATTATGAAGCTCGGTTAATTGTAATTGACAACAATTTGAATTTTTTGTGCTTGATTCGATAATTTGTTCATTATTATTCATTATTGTTGTTGATCGTTGTCGTGTGTCACCATCATGTTCATTATCATCATCATCAACATTGTCACAATGATGATGTTTTTTATTATTTTTATCATTATTATTATTATTATTATCATTTTGATTTTGATTTCCGGCAAAAAAATGGCCACGACGACGACGATGATGATGATGATGACGACGACGACAACGGTGATCACTATGAATAGGATTTATTATTAGATTCATTCGATATAAACATTCAGCAAATAAATCACGAAGATCAGCCTGAAAAAGAAAATGAAAAAAAAATTAAAGAAAATTCATTGATTGTGATAAATTCATTTTCAATGTTCGATGTATAATAATATAAATATCAACATAATGTCAACACCTTTATATTAATAACATTTGTCTATCTAAACACTAATTTAGAGACATAAATTACAAATCAGATTACTGTAACTGTTAATTTGTCACTGTCATATTGTAATCAGATTAATTCTACAGAAAAAAAATCCAATAAAACAAGAGAAAAAGAGAGAGACAAAAAGCATTTTTTTCACTTCAGAATGACAATAGATTATACATTAAGGTTATATAAAGGTGAAAAGTTTTAATCAGAAACAAAAAAAAATTTTTTATAATTAAAAAAAAATACCCGAAAATTTTCGCTCATAAAACAATAAATAATTGGATTGACAAACGAATTAGCCATCGAAAACCAATGTGCCGTAAATGCAATGGTAACATAGATTGTGAAACCAATCTGTGAATTGTAAACATTGACCATCAAATCACGAGCAAAATAGATGAATAAATCTATATGAAAACGGGAGAAAAAAAAGGACAACAAAAAAAATTGAAATCAAATTAAAATTTTTGTCAACAAATAAATAAAAAAAAAGTAATAGAAAAGAATTTGTCAACACAATCTACTGATGACAATGAAAATGTTATCATCTCTTTAATCCAATATAACAACAACAAAAACTTTCGTCAGAATTCTGGAAACTAAAGAAAAAACCACTATTTTATGATCATTTTTTTTAAAAAAAAAAAATTTCTAATGGATCTGTGTGTGTGTGTGTGTACACACCCGATACAATATAACAATTTTTTTTTCTTTCTTTCTTGGTTCATTTATTCATTCATTCATTCATTCAGATCCATGCTTTATTTTGCCATTTTAATGTTAGATAAAGCAAAACAAATCCACACACACAAGCACGATTTTATATATTTTGAGCAAACGGATTGATTAATTTCTCTGGTATTTGTACAATCATCCATTTCATGAAAAAAAACCCCAACTATCCGGAATATTTTAAACATAGGGTCTCGGTTTTCAGAATTTCATATATATTAAATGTCTGTCTGTCACTGATACACACAAACATATGATTCCTGAAACTAAAAAAAAAATAGTCGGTTAATGTCGAAATAATCAGTGATGATGATCGAATCATTAATCATTAAGTATGTTTTGTTTGGTTTGAAATCCTTTACCGAAACATACAAAAAAAAAAAAAAATTCAAGCCAATTGGATGTTAGTGTGTGAAAATAGAAACAATGAGATATAGAAAAGTCGATCCTATTTTTGGCTATAATTTTTCTTTCTCAGTATCTTCTTGTTCGCGCCAATATTACCATTTAAAGAATGGCAAATATTGTGTGAATTCATTCGAATAAATGAATCAAATTTTGGTTTCGTTTCGTTTTTCGCATCAAACGTTATTATAAAAGTTTTGATTTTCCTTAGAATTTTAATGTTGAATGTTCTTAACACCATATTTGGAATTATGTTTCCCTCATTTGTTTTTCTTGATAACTGAAATTCTATTATTTTTTTTTTTTAATTTTAATTTCCAAATTCTTAATGGCAAATGAGAATGATTGCTAAGATCACTGTGGATTAAAACAAATAACGAAATCAATCAATTTGAAATCATCGATAAGTGATATTACTCAATTTTTGATTTTGTGTTTTATTTTTGAAATATAAATATTGTTTGTTTGTCGTACTAAATTACAACATCGATCGTATTTTCGAAGTTATAATCATGTTTGAATCATTTATATTATACAGTTGATCATCATCAACAAATGAAATACATTTGTGTTTTCATTATTATGATATCAAAAGCTTTATATGAAAAAAATGGACAGAATTGCTTTCGGCTTGCTGTATCTTTGTTATCTTTCGTTGATTTTTTTTTCACCAAAAAAAACTATATGAATGAATGTAATCATCCATAATGTAAAAACTACGACTAAGAATTAATATATGATTAATAATCAACATTTATGCATTATCTACAAAATCATAACAATTCAATGACATGCATTTCAATTCAATATATGAATGAATGAATGAATCATGTATAATACTCTTTGTTATTTCCTTTTTTTTTTTCTTGAAATTCAGATATCGCAGCCCAGAGCATTTATTGTTGTGTCATGTGCGTGTGTGTGTGTCAACGGAAATTTTTCCTTTTCTTTTCTTACTATGAAAATCAATTTTTTCACTTAAGATTACAATGTATCTTTTTTCTCTATATATTCAAAATTCTCTAGAATGTATTTTTCATTACTAGAATTAATTTCTATTTATCTTTAACAAAAGTTAGCCTTGTGTGTGTGTGTGTGTGTAATATATTCAAATGTTACAAGTATTTTACGGCCACATCACACACAAAAATGAGCTTTTTTTCGCCTAAAATTCAATCATCATCATCATCAAACAAATAATTTGTACGAAAATTTTGTTTGAAAATTTAAATAAAATTTATATTATTCCATATAATGTTAATGGTGATTTCGAAACTAAACTATAGAATTATTATTTCATTCCATTTCGTTTGTTTTGCCATCATTCTTTGTTGACCAATTATTGATCACCATCATTATTATATCGATGATGATAATATGGAATTTTGAAATTGATAAATCAATAAGATCAATATAGATATACATGTGTAAAAAAAATCGATTGCACGATTACTAGAATGCTAGGATACTGATAGACCAAAAAAAAAAAAAAAATGAAATTGAACACTATGATGACAAACAGTGGAGAAACAAAAAAAATCATAATTCATTGTGATATGAAATCGATTTATTTATTTTTTTCAGATCAAAATGAAATGATTGGTTTTCGAAATATATAAAAAAAATGAAATAATCAACGTTTTTTTCATTTAATTCTGATAGATTCTGAAAGCAGAAAAAAAATTGCTACAAATTAAATCAACACACGCAGAGAGAAAAAGATAGATAATGATGACAAAAAACTAAACAAAAATAATAAATTGAGATTGAAATAAATAAAATGAAAATATCATTGAAAGGTTCTGGTTAGGTTTCAACGAAAGAAAAATTGTACACAAAGCTCATATGTCACAATGATGTGATAACATATCGCAGATCATGGTGTAATTTAAATCCAATGCTTGTGTGTGTACCGTGTGGGTTGAACAATTAATTTCCATCACAAAATAACCGGAGAATGAAATTCATTGAAAATTTTTACTTTTGAAAATGAATTCACATTTTGTATGGATGAATGAATTCATCTAAAGTTTCAAGTTTATTTTTTTTTCTTTCTTCTCTTTAAATAGAGAAAGGATTAAACACACACACACACACACACACACATGAATTGCTAATACTTAGGGCAAAGTGTGATAAGAATACTTAAGTTATTCCAAGTTTCTGACAGTTTTTTTTAATACACACACACACACACACTATATCATATAAATGATAAATGTTTCAAATATTTGATGCGAAACAATCATCATTATATAATAACCGATTCAAATAAAAGAAACGGAATCCAGAAAAAAAAAGTTTTCCAGAATAAACTTGATATAAAAAAGTATTTTATGTATATAGTCAACACATCATCAATAGATGATGAAGATAAGATTTGAAATACTGTCAACGTTGTGCAAACAAACAATGTTTTTTTGGTTTTTGGTTTGGCTGGTTCTATTTGTTTACAAAACGAAAACTATACTCTAGTTTTGTTTTTGTTTTTTTTGGATTCACAATTACAAGATAAGTTTAAGAAACATTTATAAATGGAAATGGATTGAAATACTTACTTAGGATATGTAATGGAAGCCAACAAACGACAAAAAGTATTACGATTGTAACCAACATTTTCATAATCTATTCAAACATTCAAGATGGAAAGATGATTTTTATATTTAAGAAAAATTTATATATGATAAATAAATACCTTGACTTTTGATGCATGTTGTGCACGATCACGTACAACATCAACATTACCCGGTGCTGAATGGCGAAATATTTTAACACCAATCGATGCATATGTAAATGATAATATGCTCATTGGTAAGGCAAATGTTATTATAAATATAATTATTGTAAAGAATTGTGAATGATCACTAGAAATCTCTTTACAATCATAATTTGTTTCATTGGCAATAAGAAATGGTGTTGCTTTCGTGTTATTCCATTGAAATAAACCAAGTAGAAAACCGAATAACCAAATAATCGATATGGTTACTGGTCCGAATGAACGATTATAACGTTGAGAGTATAGTGGATAAATAATTGCCATATAGCTGTCATGGCACATATATATCAAATCGAGAGAGAGAGAAAAAAAAAGATTAAATTGGAAAAATAGATTAGATTTATCGTTTGTAAAATTGAAAATGATTCTCGTGATCGAATATGCTATATGGCGTATTTCAAATGTCAAAGAATCATCATCATCATCAACAACCAATGAATTTGCGGCTCCATCTGGATGTATAATTATGTAACTATACTGTCGATTTTTTGTTTTATTTTATTTATTACAAGCTAACAACAAAACAAAGAATAAACTTGATGACTAACTAAATGATAAATGTCCAGATTAATTGTAATAAAGGTTTTTATGGAAGAAAAAATTTTTTTACACTTGGACTTTAATCTTGGACTAGTATGTCTTATTATCATCCAATAGATGGCACAAACATGAGGAATTTTTTTTCGATAAATATGTAATTGTTATTCAACGATAAATATGTAATTATCACAAGACTTACCGATCGATACCGATGGCAGTGAGCGTATAAACCGAAACAAATACACAAGTCATTTGCATTTGTTGTACAATTGGACAGAATGCTGGTGCAAAAATCCAACGGCCAAGCATAAAATCCATATATGTAAATGGTATGCTAAACAATGCCATCATAATATCCGACATTGATAAATTGACCAAAAATATTCGTAATTCTTTTGATGAACGTTTACCAAATAATAATACACAAATGGCAAGAATATTGCCAAATAATGCTAATGCTGCAGTTAATGTATATAAAAATATAATCATTATTTGCCAATTTTTATCTAATAATTCCAATTCTTCATATGTTGCATAATTTCTTGGTCCATTTTCATCATCATCATTATTGATTATTATTGTTTGATTAATGTTTTCAGTCGGTATTGTTGTTGCCGTTGATGATGATATTGATGATATGATATCGATTGATGAAGAAATAAGATCAGGTATACGTATTGAATCACGAATAGATGACAATGTTGATGATGATATTATTGATTGGCTATAATTAATATTATTGTTATTCAATAATGTTGATTCAAATGCCATCATCATAATCATCATCATCATTATTGTCATTAATGATAATGGAATTATTTTTTTCAATTTAACAATATTAATTTGCTGATAATAATAATAATGATGATGTTTATGTTTATGATTTTGGTGGTTGTCGTCGTCTTGGTTATGGTAATGATGCTGATGATGATAACCGATGGAAAAAAGTTGAAAAACTATTATTATGAATAAAACAATTGTAATTGTCAATGTCATTTCCATCTGGAATCAGTTATTATTCCATTCAATATGTATTGACCGTTGCATTTCAACTTTTAATATTCCGTTTTTTTCACTGGTCAGTGCCACATGGAAAAATTTCGATAAATCATTTTCTTCAAAAAAAAATTTTGTTGTTGTTGTTCATTTAACAATAAAATAGTGGGTGTTTTTCTTTCATTCGCACACACACACACACACAACACACACACACAAATGGCTAATACATTTTTTTGAGTTTTGAACATTGAAAACAATCGACATTTACAAACACACACACACATATACATCAAAACACGACACACACACACACACAATGGAAATGTTGAATTCTTTTGCTTTACTCCGGTATCCAAGAAACAAAACATCAATTCAGACATCAGAAAACAAAAATTTGCATAAAATTAGTTCAGATTATGATGAATCATGATGTCGTCGTTGTCGTAATCGTTGCTGCTTGTTTGGAATATATGAAAAAAAAGAAGCATATAGAAAATGTGAGATTTTTTTTTTTTGTTTTATTTTGCAAACGCTAAATTATATGGTTTATATTGAAATTTTGACGGTGTAACTGTGTGTGTATAAATGATCGAATTTCATCCAAAATATTGCCGGTATCAATTTTTGTTTTTTTTTCTTCTTTCGTTTTTAATAATTACTACTATTATCATTATTTTGTTTTTGTTTGTTTCTTTTTTATCGAAAATTTGAATTTTGATCGATCAAAACACATACACACACACAAGAATAGTGGATCAATGAAAAATTCAATAAATAGAATAAGAGGAGAAAAATAACACAATCAACAAACAAACAAACAAACAACTTTTTGGTGTGAAAAAAAGTTGTTGTTGTTGTTGTTTTCAATTACAAAGACATTTGATCATTGAAAATATATAGAAATCTATCGAATGAATATGAACACAAACAATTGATTGATATAAATTATTTATATTAGCTTGAATTTCGTTTTGTTTTTTGTGATGAGTGTGAAATTTGAAAAAAAAAATAGAAAAGTATCCTACAAAAAAAGATTTATGATTCCCATGCTGATTGTTTGTGAAAATCGACAAAACAATTCATTTTCATATATATTATATCAGGTAACATTATCAATCAAAATCTAGTGATTATTGTTTTCTGTATGCAGAATAAATAATGTAACAGCAGCAGCAGAAGCAGCAGAAAAAAAATAAAAATTGAATGAAAAACAAATCATTGACAAATTCCTTTTTTTTGCTCCTTTCTGTGATTCTTGTCTGTGTAACGTTCGTATGTATTTGACAATCATTCAATCATACGATGCACACACACACACAAACACGGAATAAATTTTTTTTTTGTTGTTGTCTTGAATAAACAAAACAAAAAATATCCGTAATAAAAATATCTGACAACATATGAACAAATAAAAACAGAATCTAAATCTTTAATGGATATCACCCATCGCCATAATCTAAATCTTTCCTGCACACACACACACACACATAAAAAAAACTGGATCAGAAAAAAACATGCAATGGATAATTTCAGTGTCACGCGATTTATATATGAAAATAAATAACGTTATTCATTTATCTTTACTTTTTTCATCATCATCATCTACCTACCTACCTACCTACCTGTTTATCTACAATCTAAACAGAGATAGTGAATGAAAATTATTGAATGTGATTTATGATTTAAACACCAAAAATTCGGCCACTGCTTGGTCTGTTTGTTTTGTTTGTGTTCACAATGTGAATTTTTTTTTTTACTTTATCCATTTAAGAGGATAGTGATACAAAAAGATAGATTCAAGAAATATGGTGGTAAAAGTCGAATTTTCTTGAAAAAAAAGGAAACACTGTGTATGTGTGTGTGTGTGTGTAGGTAGGTTTGGTCAGTGACACAGGAACACCGAACAGAGAATAATTGATTGAAATAAAGTGATGAGAAGAGAAATGTTAATTATTCGTGGATGTAAAGGAATTTTTTTTTTAGTCGATTGAATATCGAATCTATATAGTTAAATGAATGAATGAAGCGATTGAATAACAATGAACACACAATAGCTGATAGAATGTATATGTATGTGATGAGAATGTATAAAAATTTTCAATGAACCGGGAATAATAATAAGAATAATAGATAGAGATTGCCTGTATTTCAAATTTCTTCAATCTTTCTACTAATATCATGAAGATAAAAAAAAATAATGGAAAAATAAGGCAAAGGTTTTCACTTTCATTCATTCATAATGATAGAAGATGCTAGAATAATAATTGTGACGATGATGATGATGATGATGGGAAAAAACAAGAAATTGATAATTATGGAAATTTTTCCATATATTTTTTTCTTCGAAAATTACGTTTGGGTTCGTTCGTTGATTTCATTCATTTATTCAAGAATTTGTCTGAAACAAAAGCTGAAAATAAAACACATGATGGAAATAGATGTATTTGCTACAAACTAAAACAGTTCATTTTTATACACTCACTCACTCATTAAATACACAGTAGTATGACAAGTGTTTCCACATCGTTTTATGTCATCATGTCAATAGTAAAATTGAAATTTGAGACAAATTTTTTCAATTTTGCATCCACACACACACACACATCATCATCATATTGCAGCATATCGTCTGTTAGGGCAATTGCAGAATTTTCAATTCATCATTCTTAACCCATTTTCATGGCTATTTAATCAGAAGACAAGACAAAAAATGTGATGAAATTCAGGAAAAAAATCTATGTGCGTGTGTGTGTCATTTGACACCTTTTAATGTGGAAAGAAAAAAAACTTATGTAACAGATAATCCGCCAATAGTTATGATTACTGAGAAAAATAGGGTAAATATTCAATTGATAATCAAATTATTCTCAATTATTATATATGATAGTTATATGATAAGAAATAAAAATGTCAACAATGATAATGATCATCAAACATCATCATAATTCAATTTGATGCTTCCAGATATTTTTATATGACAAGAAAAAAAAACATCAAATAATAAAAAAGATAAATATCCATACCACGTATACACACTTTTGAACTTGACGATAGAAACAGAATTATAAATTATTTCACCAGATTGTTTCTGGTTTCTCTCTCTCTCTCTTTATCCATCATCATCATCAAAGACCAAACATAATATCTGATATAATAAATTTGTTTCATTCTTATTTCTATTTCATTCATCTTGAATTTCTTTTAATATTCGAGAAACGAAAAAATTTTTTCTTATTATCATAAAAATGTAACAATATTATTTAAATATAATGATATTTTGTATGTATGTGTATCTGTTGAATGAATGTGTTTGGTTGGTTGGTTTGGTTGACAATTCGTCCGAAATGACACAATAGATGAATGTGGCTCATATTTTTCTTGTTGGTGTTATTGTCCTTTGGTTGTTATTGTTTGACAAAACAAAGATTCTACAATTCTTACATCCAAACAACATACAACAATCATACAAACAAGCGAACATAGTGAATAACAACAACAACAACAACAAAAAAAAACAAGCCGTTTCAACACAATGAACAAAAAAAAAAAATTCTTCGGTTCAATTAGCACAATTGCACCAGAGAGAAAGATGATCATGATTCGGGCAATATATTTTGCTTTCTGTGAATGTTTTCAAACATATTTTTTGTCAACATCCTTCGGCAACTAGTGAACAAAGAAAAAAAAAAAACTAGCGAAAAAAAACTTTATCCTCCATCATTTTGTGAAATTGTAACGTAAAATTTTATAAGCCAATGTCAATTTTATAGTCATCATCATCAACGTCATTGTCACCAGAACAACAATATAATTCTCCATTGATGATGATGACCAAAATAACAAAAAAAAAAAAAATAGAAAAGAAAAGTGGTGGAAAAAAAATCTTGAACTCAATTTGAAAAACAACAACAACAATGATGATGATCTGAATAACAAATAATGATGACAACAAACAAACACAGGCCATTATATAATGGCATTGTATGTCTATCTCTATCTTTCTATTTTGACCATTGGTCAGATCTATAACAAAGAATTTTTTTTTTTTTGTTATTGTTATATTTTTCCATCAACATTGATATAATATGCACAAAAGAATCTCTATACAATTGATTGTGCGTGTGTGTGTGTGTGTGTGTGTGTGTGTGTGTGTTATTGTCAAAAATTTGTAATATGTACCGTTGTCAATATATATTGTATATTGGTGTGAATAATGTGAAAATGGTTGATCATCATCAAATTCAATCACAATCTTTTTTTTTGTCTTTTTCTATTGTATATAATGTTTATTGCCATAGTAGCCAGCCATATTGTCGTCCTGTATTGATGATCATTATTTTTTATTATAATTATTATTCACACACACACACACACACACACACACAGACAAGTATAACAAACAAAACACAAATGAGAATAAAAAAGATACGCTAAATTCATTAGAATTATTCATGTATATATATATATATCATATTATCATTTTGAGAATGAATAGATAAATAAAATGCTTGAACCAAATATTTTGAACTCAATCTAATCAAGCAAATTTGTGTTATCATATTCATTGATGATTGTTCAAATGCGTCATATATATAACTATACTAATTAATCCAATGGAGTTTGAATTGTGATGATGAAAAATTCCAATTGAAACGAAAATGGAATTTTTTTTTCAATTTGATTCATTCCACACAATAGAATTCAAAGCAATAGCCAATTTGTAGTTATTCCTGTCGTTGTCAATC